CCTGCGGGCGGGGCGGGGCGGGGCCGGGAAGGCGGGAGCGGCCCTGGCGGGAACGAGCGCCCGCCTGGCGCGGCTGCGTGCAGCCTCCGGGCCGCGCTCCGTGCCCCGCGGAGCTGGGTGCTGTCTGCGGCACCCAAGAGGTGCGTTGAGCGGTGAGGAGCAGCTGCCCACCAGCAGGACCTCGGGGACCACCGCAGACCCGAGCAAGTTTGGAGAATTGCAAGCCCAAAATCTCAAAATGGAAAAAGGAAGACCAGGAAATCGATGATATGGGCTCAAGACAACCGAGGCTGGCGCCTCTCACCTGCCCACAGTAGGGGGTGTTCAAAGTCTGACTTCAGGTGAGCTGGCGCCAGGAAGCTACCTGGAAGGCACCTCTTTTATCTGCTCAGGGAAGCATCCACTGTGACACCAAAACTTTGTTTTGGTCGCCCCAGGCGCACACCTGTAAACTCTGAAGTGTAGTCTTGAAGAACAAGGTGCCCATAGGTTTGGAAGTTTGATTTCCAGACTCAATTCAGAGGGAGAGCAAATTACATTGTTATCATTGACCTCAAAGTTGACATTGTTTTATTTGCACTTACCATCAGTTTACAGACGAAATCCCAAATACTGTCCTTCAAAAGTGGGCAGAAACTAGGCAGAAATAGAGAAGAAAGGGTTATAAAGACTACACAACATATCCCAGCCAGGCCACCAGCCAGGCTGAGAATTTTTAGGAGGAGATTATCCTCTGTGTCCAGCCAGTGCCCCAGCTAAATCATTCTAGACAAATGAGGATCATTTGGGAAAGAAGAAATGACAACGAGTAACAGTTATCTTCACTGCAAACCGGGCAGCATGCTAACCACTACCTGGTCAGCCTCACTTTTATCTGCACAGTTCTGGATTTGTAACTAGATGGGTCAAATAGTCACTTTCCAAATGCCTTGTTTGCATAATTCTCCAACCTTTCTATTCCCTTCCTTCTAATGGAGAGGTTGTAGCTGGTTTTCATGCAGTATTCTCAACATACTAATCTACTTAGAGCAAAGCTAAGGAAGGGTGACATAAAAGGTTGCTGGGAACATGGAATGAATGTATGGAGAACTGAAACTTTCATAGAACTGAAATCAGC